CCCACAGTCATGATCCTCCGGCTGATTCTGCTCCTGTGCATCTCCACACATGGTAAGTCCACGTTTATATTCTGGTCTTTTGCTTTCCTTTTTCAGCCTGTGAAGTTGCCCAGGATTGTGTTTGTTGGTGACTTGTGACGAAAGGTTGTGCAGAGTGTGATGTCTGCGCTGCTGCGACCATCTGTGTCTTTAACTGTGCCGTCCATGGCACGGTGGCTCTGCGCACTGGCACGTCTGATGCAAAAGAGGAGAAAGTCAGCGTGGGGTGCTGGTAGCTGCTTTTTTATTTCCTCCTCCTCCTCCTCCTCCTCCTCCTCCTCCTCCTCCTCCTCCTCCTCCTCCTCCTCCTCCTCCTCCTTCTTCTTCTTCTTCTTCTTCTTCTTCTCCTCTCTGTGTAACTTGTCCCGGCTCTTAGACAAGACGAGTCAAACGCCTCCTTTGTGGGTTTATTATTCCCGTCACACACTGAGACGTACACACAAACACAAAGCCTCCGCTCCCTCGTTCAGTTCAGTCGAGCGATTCCTGCTAAGGCACATTGTTTTGAACTGACAGCCCTGCTGCCCCCACTGAGGGTCAGAGGGAAAAGGGGAGGGGGGGGCGGAGGGGGGGTGAACAGCGGAGAGCGTCCAAGGGCAAACTGGTGAATATAGTTTGGAAACTTGCAGACAGTGTCCTCTGCTGTTATTATTTTATTATCGTCTATTTGTGGACAGGATGAGGATGGATTGGCTGTTGTTCCCAGCTTGCCACCAGGTGGTTGTCTTTGGAACACAATGGAAGTGAGTAAAGTACAGCCAAGAGCTCAGTGTGATATACAGACACACACATGTACGTCCTGCCTCCTCCTCCTCCTCCTCCTCCTCAGCGGCGGTGGCCTCTGGTTTATGCTTCTCGGGGTCACGGTCAATGACCCCGTGACCACCTCTGCTCAAAGTCTGACCCTGTCACACTGGGCCACAGTCTGAGGAGGGCACTCACTGAATGATAATGTTGGTGTGTGTGTGTGTGTGTGTGTGTGAGATTCCCATGAGGTGTTTGGAGCTTTTTTTTTCAAGGCACAGAAAAAGAAAAAATCCTGAAGTCGATGTTTTAGTTTGATCCACATCAGTTTCACACAGTGATGACAAATAAGACATTTTCTGAGTGACTGGATTTTTTTTTTTTTTTTTTTTTTTTTGGTTTTTTT